CAAAACTAAAAGTCCTTGCCAACATCTTGAGCACGGAAGGGGGAACACGTAGAAAGGAGCACGTAGAAGAAGCTCTATTTTGATTATGCTTAATCTTGATTTATGTCTGGAACCCTGAGTGGGGTGATGTAATGCACCTGCCAAGTTCTTTGATCTGTTTTGTACAAAAACTGAAGCTTTACAGAAGTAAAATTGCAGCAGATTTTCACTACACAGTGTGTCTGTCTGTCATTTCCCTTGCATCGTATCCTGGCTATCCTATCCTTCACCCTGGTCTCCCGTGGATAGCGGTCTCCGAGAGGGACGGTCCGCGGCAGGTCCCAGCCTGTAGAGATACTTGAGGAATTCAACCTTTAAGAGGTGACACCGTAGACGAGGTTTTAGGCTGGGTCCAGAAACAGACAAGTCTTTGAAGGGGTTTGTGAGATCTTGGCTTATTTCTTATTCTTTTTGTGCCTAGCTGTGAGGTGAACTAGCCTTCTCAGCTTTATGTACTTATCGTGATGGGTTGCCTTACTGTGTGCTTAAAACAGTGGCCTGGCCAAGGCACTGTGTGTGTGTTTCTTTGGGATGGCTGGCCACCTTGTTCTTTGAGACACAGTCCCTCCCCGAGACCTGGGGCTCGCTGACAAGGCTAGACTGGCTCACCAGTTAGCCCCAGAGATCTGCCTGACTCCTCCTAGCACTGAGATTGCAAGTGTATGCTGCCACCCTACCTCTTCATGGGACTTGAACTCTAGTCCGCATGCCTTATGGACTTTCTCTCCAGACCTGCTGTTTTGTTTTGTTAGACAAAGTCTCTGTAGCCCAGACAGCCATGTCTACACAAACCCTGTCTCAAAGAGAAAGAAAAGAAAATCACAGACCAGTGCCGTCTTGGGTGCTTTGTCAACTCGACGCAGCCTAGAGTCATCTAAGAGGAGAAGCCTCCGTAGAGTAGTGGCTTAGATCAGGTTATTGAAGGGTGCATGTGAGGGATTATGCTGATCGTTAATTTATGTAGGAGGATCCAGTCCTCAAGCAGGTGGTATTGAGCTGCATTAAAAAAGCTAAGACCAAGCCAATGGGTGAGCCTCCATCGTTCTGCTGGACTTTCTCGGCTATGAGTGAGTTCCTCCATCAGAGAGAATGTTGCTTGCCTGAATCTGTTCTGCCTTCAGCTTCTTGCTGGAAATTCCTTCCCTGGCTCCTCTCAGTGATGGACTGTGATGTGGAAGTGGAAGAAGAAATAACCCCCTTTCTCCCCAGGTTGCCTTTGGTCAGAGCGTTTTATCACGGAAAAGATGAACCGAGCGCTGGTTGGTAAGTGTCTACGCTGGCTGCTTCCAGGACAGCAACCTCCCGGAAGAATCCAAGACAGGTATTTTCTACTTCAAGTTTGGTTTTGTGTGATGATTCCTTACAATCGCTCTCAGTTAATGTCTGGTCATGCTGACTGCCTGATCCTCATTGGCTCTTACCGGTGCTTATCATGTGTGCGCATGCTCTCTGCACTGTCCACCGTGCTGTCCGAGGGGAGGGGAGAGAAAAGCATGCAAACCCCACACCCGGCTCACACTCTCCCCTACACTTAGCTTGTATCTTGATTGTTCTTTAAAGCCACATTGGTATATTCTCCAGGTAAACTAGAAGCCTCGAGTCCCTTTACTGAGGCTGTCCCTACCACCAAATCCATTAGGTTCATATCCCGAGGTGAGTCCCTCTTCCAGTCTGTCTGCTTCTGTATCCATCACTGGATTTAATGTCTTCCTTTAGACTGTCCAGAGCGCTCTTACCTTTCCTGGGGCACACACTAACTCCTTGTGCGTGTAGTTATTTTCATAACTCTCCTGGGCACCGGGCACCGCACGTCTGGAGGGCACACAGGGTGTCTTAATTACCTCCGCCTCCTCACAAGCCCCCAAGATGATGAATGGGGTGATGATCTGTGTTCGTTCATGAACTGCGTGTTTGTTCTTACTACTTCCCACTTCTGCTGGCTTCGTTGAATACCCGACAATGTATTTTAAGAATTCGTCAGCTTCAGCTGCTCAACATCCCTACACCTCCTGTTCACCGTGTTGCTATTTTGTCCTGGAAGTAAGAATGCAGAGCTCTTCAGAGTGTGTCATTGCCTGGTTCTTAGAGCAGGTGATAAGAACAGTGTTGTTGAGGGAATGAGTTCCTTCCTTGCCATGCTTTGGATTTTGTGTTTCTAGCTAGAGCACCAAGCCAGCTTCCTGTTGCTTTGACAAGAAGTTACGAGGAGGTTTACACTTCCTCTGGGACATTTCTTTAACATTCATTAAGGAGAACTCCATGTGTAGTGGTGGGAGAGAAAATTCTTACATAAAGATTCCCCTGTGCCCGGGCTTACTAAACCGAAAGTGGAACCTGCCAAAATCTCTGGTGTTAGGAGCCAAGGTTACTAATTCGTTCAGATAGTATTAATTTATGCTGCCAAGCCACATAAGAACAAGCATTAATTTAGTTTGTAAGTTTAATGAACAATTGGAAGGATCCAAATTCTGAGTAGGTCAATCAAATCTTATGCTATTACTTATTTCTAAGTGCATTGAGAAAAGATGCCCAGGAAGATGGAAGAGATATGTATTACATTTTATGGGGAATATGTAAAATGCATAGAGTTTATCTTTTGCAATAGTGTAATTTTTATACTTTTGAAATCAATGAAATAACATCATTCTATGTAACAGGACTATTCTTTATTATATTAACTGGTCTATTATTATTGTATGTGTGTCCACATGTTCATATGTATGTGTTCCTATGCATGAGGAGATACAGGTACATGAATATGTGTGTGCATGGCAGTACAGATAGGTACATGTATGTGTGTGCATATAGAGGTACATGTACATTTCTGCTTATGACTGTGTATGTTCATGCACATGTATGCTATGCATGTGGGGGCCAGAAATCGTTGCCAGATGCCTTCCTCTCTCCACAGTATTTTTGAGACTGGTGTCTCACTGTGTAGTAGGAGGCTGCTAGTGTGTTCACGGCTGCCCTCTGTTTGTTCATTTCCTGGCTGCCCAGACTCCTGAAATAAACACACAGAAACTGTATTAATTAAATCACTGCTTGACCAATTACTTAAGCAAAGTGCTAGCTAGCTCTTACATCTAGAATTAACCCATCTCCATTATTTTATATTTTACCATGAGGCTCGTGACCTACCTGCAAGGTTCCAGCATGTCTGTCTCCTGTGGCGGCTCCACGGCTTCTTCTCTGACTCTGCCTCCTTTCTCCCAGCATTCAGTTTAGTTTTTCCCCTGCCTACCACTATTCTGCTCTGTGCAAGCCCAAGATAGTTTTTTTTTAATTAACCAATGGAATTTACAGCATACAGAGGGGGAATCCCACATCATCACTGGACTTAGTGCTCACTGATTTGGTTAGGTTGTCGGAGGAGTCCCCAGAAATCCACCTGTCTCTATGTTTCCCTTAGACATGTACTGCTGTGTCCTATGGATGTTAGGGATCTGAACTCAGGTCCACATGCTTGCATGGCACGCTATGGAGATTGCTGTGCAGGCATTATTGTAGGCATGCCATTTATACACACAACCTAAAAATAAGTGAATCTTTAAACAATTATGTATACATGTGTTGTCTGTATGTGGGCTTGCTCATTTGAGTGCAGTGCCTCGGAGGTCAGAAAGGGGTTTCAGATGCCTGGAGCTGGAGAAACAGGTCGTTGAGAGCTGCCTCATATGGGTGCTGGGAACATAATCAGGGTCCTCTGCAGGAGCTGTGAGCACCTTTAGCTGCTGTACCATCCTTCCAGGGTCCTCTGCCCACGTCATTAACAATTAAGCCTGGGTAGGGAAACCGTGATTTTTATATATCGGCAACTCATTCAATTAAACAACAACAGTGTTCATACAAGGGGAGGTTGTATGATGTACGACTCGTGACTCAGCAGCCTACAACCCTGCCCTTTGCCGTCTGAGGCCATTCTCTGGCTGCCTCAGCCCTGACCAGGACACACACTCGCAGAAAGAAGTTCCCTGACAGTGTGTACTTGCTGCTTTTGAAAATGGACCTCACTGAAATCAGTAATCATGGAAGCTATAATGCACTCATGCTATGAAGGCACTCCCAAGCAATGTGCTGCTCCAGGAGCCCCATGATGCAGTGACTGTCACTATTATTATTATTATATTATTATTATATATTATATATTATTATTATTATATTAGTATTAGGGCCTTTCTGTAATCAAGACACACAACTGAGAAGTAATGAATGATTCCTGATGGCCCACAGCGAGAGGGAACAGAGGTAGAGTAGACACCCAGCAGTCTGTCTGTCATGCTTAGCCTTCAGCCTGTGCTGTGTTCCTTTGCAGGGTATAGCTAGACACAGTTTAGTTCCTAAGAAGGTCACAAAGCTCAACAATCACCAAGTATTGTGATTAGCATGTTATACTAATAATAAGTATGTTAAACATACTGTTCATGTGTGTGTAGATGTACAGGTTCACATACATGTGGGTGTATGCGTGGAGGTCAGAGGTCAACCTGGATGTTACTCACCAGGTGTCATTTGCCTTGTTTTTTTGAGACACGGTTTCTTGTTGACTTGGAACTTGTCAAATAGGCTAGACTGGCCAGTGAGCATCAGGGATCACTGTTCCCGTGTCCCCAGGGCTGAGCCTACAAACCGACGCCACCACATGGCCTTTTTATGTGGGTACTTAGGATTAAATTCAGATCTTCATGCTCCTGCAGCAAGCCCATCCCTCACTGAATTATCTCTCCCTGTTTCTCCCTTTAAGACTCAGACAGGGAGGCTGCAAGCAAGGGGTGACTTTGACAAGCTGTTAAAGACTGTCACTGGCTGAGCTGCAGCAAGTTCAAAGCCGTACTGTTGTTTCTGGTACCGTGATAACTACAAAGAAGGGAATTCCATGTGACCCTTCTGATGTAGCCTGAGTCCCGGGCAAGCTGTCCTGCGGTGCTGCTTCTGAGTCGAGATGTTCCTCCCTTAAATACACGCTATTTGGAAGCAACACTATCTCTTTTGTCTTTTTAACCACAGAAGATAATTACAAACATGATGTTGCTCCAAATTTATCAGTCACTTCATTCATGAGCTCAGGCCTCAGAGTGATTCCAGGGAGCAGCCCAAGGGGCAGGGAGAATATTTTGCAGCCGTGATAGATAACTGCCCCGCAGGGCCTTTCTGTCAGTAGTGTAGAGAAATGGCACCGAGAAGCTCTGGAAAGGGCATTTTGTGTACGTAGACAAGTGGGTATAATGAACAGTTTCAAAGACCCCAAATTGCAGCATATAATTTCTTAGAGATATGTACATGTGAATTTAATAAGTATGTACAGATGGTCTTTTATTGCAACGAATGTGCTAAGTCCTGTGGGAATATAAATATAATAAGATATGATCTCTGTCTTCCTGGAGCTTACTGCATAGCAGTGAAGGCAGATAGATATTTGAAATTACAATACTATAAAATAAGAGCCCTAAAATATATAAATTTCTAGGAACTACTAAGAAAAGGAAGAAAGATAGATCAAATCCAACCTAGAAACCAGAGAAGGCTTCCATGCCTTGCTGCAGACCTTGAAGGCTGGCCAGGTTTCAGTTGCTATAGTTGGCTATGGAAGCTGTACAGGCAGAGGAAGCACAGACGTAGACACAGAGGTGAGAAACCCAGGATGTGTTCAGAAGACATGCAGCAACAAGTCTGGTCACACTGTGGAGTGCTCTGATTGCCAGTCTAGGGAGCCTACTCTGCTCATGGGCAAAAGGCTATGCACACTCAAGGCTTTTGAGCATGCAAGGGCCGTGATCAGGCTGTTTGTAGGATAGCAAACTTTGCAGAATTGAAGGAAGAGGGCATAGGCAGTTGAAGGGGGGAAATTCTTTACTAGCTCTTGGTAAAAGCCACTGTCAGGCAGGGCAATAGGAAAGACGTTAGAGGACATTCTGGATGTGGTCTTTGAGATATGGGAAGGGGTGAGAAATAACTTAAATGATTTCTGATGTTCTACCAGACACGGTGGTAAAGGCTCAGTTCCAGGCATGACACTGTTGGAAGGTGGTGAAAACTTTAGGAGGTGGCATCTTCTCAGAGCTTTGGGGCTGCTGAGATTATCCCTGAAGAAGATTGTACCTTACTGGTCACTGCTTCTTAGCGAATGGTCCTTCTTTGTCACACACACCTGCTAGGAAGCCTCACCACAGAGACCCGATCAACAGCCATGTTTTAGATCTTACCAAACTGAGCTGAAATGTAGCTTTCCTGCTTTGAAGTTGACTGTCTCAGACATTTCATTACAGTAAATGAATACAAGATGACCCGTACAAGGATGTCAAATGGAATGAAAATGAAGAA